TCCTACCAAGGACTTCTCCATACTCAGCTCTTCTACATAACAACCGATACCATGACCTTCTCTACTCCTTTGGCTCAACGAGGCTGCTGTAACTTCCAGGTCAACAACGGCAACAAGGGTGGTAAAGGCAACGATTTCGCCATTGTCAATGCTCAGGATGGCTCTGGTACCAACAATGCCAACTTTGCCACCCCACCAGATGGCAGCCCTGGCCGCATGAGAATGTACAACTGGACTACTGCTCGTCCCAACCCGTGATGGCTGCCTTGAAGCCGGTATCGTCATCCACGAATACACCCACGGTCGTAAGTAGCCCACCACCCAAGACCTACTACCCTGTCTCCTAACCATTCCACCATTGATCCCCCTTTGCCTTCTCAAACACCATAACTTGGCAATGCTGACATGCCGTCGCCTTCTAGTCTCCAACCGTCTTTGTGGTGGTCCCGCCAACAGTGCCTGCTTGAACGCTCTTGAGTCCGGTGGTATGGGTGAGGGCTGGGGTGACTTCTACGCCACTGCCATCCGTCTAAAGCCCCGTGACACCAAAAACACCAACTACTCCATGGGTGCCTGGGCTGCTAACAACCCCAAGGGTATCCGAGCATACCTGTACTCCACTAACCTCCAGACCAACCCCTACATGTACACCTCCGTCAACAGCCTCCGTGAAGTCCACCAGATCGGTACCGTCTGGGCCTCCATGCTCTACGACCTCATGTGGGCTCTTATTGAGGCCCACGGTGGCACCTACTCCGCCAACCCAGTCTTCCGCAACGGCGTTCCACAGGATGGTCGCCATCTTTCCATGAAGCTCGTCATGGACGGCATGGCCCTGTAAGTTCACACGTCCATTGTATTCTGTAGAACTCCAACTAATATATTCCTATAGCCAGCCATGCAACCCCAACTTCGTCCAGGCCCGTGATGCCATCCTCGATGCCGACCGTGCTCTTACCAACAGTGCCAACAAGTGCACCATCTGGAAGGCCTTTGCTAAGCGTGGTCTCGGCTACGGTGCCAAATATGATGCCCGCAACCGCACTGGCAGCAACAAGCTCCCACCAGGCTGCTAAATGCATTCTCTTATTCTTCTATGTACATAGTTTAGGAGTGCGTCTGTATATAGCTTATGACGAATTTATATATGTTCAAGTTCATCTTGTTTATCGGAGGTATGGCACTGGAGATGTATGACCCTGTAGAGTAGACGATGCAAGTCTGCTTTATACAACAGTAACACAATACGTTTGCTATGAAAGTAGCTACTTATTATACCCTTGCGGTGAAGACAGCCAATACTGGTCAACGTTGAACATTGCCATG